CCAGTCACTCTCAACCCTCAAGCCCATCACAAAACAGCCTGACCATTTTTTCCAGATAGAAAATATAACTATAAAGAACACAAAGCCAGTTGGGCATGATGGTGCAAGGACTGCAAATTCAAGCAGTTTGGGCAGTTTAATGACTATATGAAACTGTGTCAAAATAAAACAATTTAAAGAAGATTGGGGATATAACTCAGTGTGATGGCCTGGGGTTGAATTCTCAATGCTACAAAACAAAACAAAAAGAACAGAATGCCTACTGACAAGCAAGCTCAAAAACACTGCACCCTTATAAAAGTTTTGAGTGGAGAAAAGACCCAGCTCACTTACAACATCACTCAGAGAGCCCCGGCTGCAAGAAATTCTAGGCAATCACACACTTTTAACTCGCCATGGTGGCCATGGTTCAACTGTAGGAAAGAATCAGGAGGGATGAATACTGGTTGGGGAGGAAGCTGATTCAGCCTCACAGGGTGAAGTAAAGGCCAATCATCCTTGAAAATCAAAGTACTCTGAGTATAGAAAAACCACAAGAATCTTGGTGCTATGTTTAGAAGCTTTCTTGGTTGCGATAAGTCACACTGATGTAGGTAGAGGATGGAAGAATATGACAAAAACATCGAAGCAGCTGATCCAGAGGAAAAATACTGAGACCTGGGTGACTTTACACCTATGGTTCCCAAGGACTCACAGGTTTAACCAGTGTTTCTTCTGACTCATGCTGTTTCCCTTCCTCCTTCTCACTGCCCAGAGTTAATTTAGAGGAGAACCCACAGGCCCCTTAGATTCTCCCATCAGTCATAAGAAAGCAAAGCAATTCAAATTCCAACTCAAATAAAATAAACTTCTACTGTTTTGCTGTTCTTAGCACCTTTCAAAAAAGATAACGGGTATAAGGCATCATTTGTTCAACTGCAGCTATGCTGTCAAGCTATTATGTGAACAGAGGAGGCCACAGATATTTAACCTGAGTTCATTTTCATACCAAATAAATTTAACACTTTCCCCGTAAGAAATTCGTACAACTTGGTAGCAATGAGATGGCATCCATACAAAAGTACTGGACATAGAGAAAAGGGTAGTGAAGATCCAGCAAAAGGGTTGCAGTAAGCTAGAATTACAGGTACAAAAAACAAGATAATATAGGCTCACTTAGTGATGTAGTATAGTACATTCGTACTATAAACAGGTACTTTCCACAGAACCATTATAGATCAGCCCAGTAGCTTTGCCTGCATAAGAATGTGGCCATTTATTTATGAATAGACTTACTATAAAAACCAGCATCTTTAGTCTCTTTCACCGGATGAAATAAATTTGCCCTTTTAACAAAGGCATATAGGGCTGGGGGTTTAGCTCAGCGGCATAAGCGCCTGCCTTGCAAGCAGGCAGTCGTGAGTTCGATCCCTGGTACCGATAAAAAAAAGAAAAAGACAAAAACAAAGGCGTATACACACTAGTTTTGTTTCCTGAATTTGTGTTTCTGTGTAAAATGCTTGATTTCCCTAAATTGAGGAAGAAGTGAAAATATCCAAATATCCTATGGATTTTTGAAAGTGGCTGCAAAACATACAGCCAACTTCAAACACTATAGTCCTTGATCTTCCTCCTACATGATCCACATTTGAGCCATGAACCATGGCCAGAATGCTATTTGTACAATTCCTTCAATCATGGCTATTTTTAGGTGTACCACTGTATAGAAACCACTAAATGATCTTTCTGTTCTTAACTCTTTACGCTTGCCAACAAAAGCAAGGATGCACATATAAGCCAGTCAAAATATGAATCACTTCAAGTCCCAGAAAAATATATAAAGTCACAAACTGTGACAACACATCCATCTCCAACACTTACAGCTCAAAGTCATAATTCAGAAATGGAAACTCTTCAACCAGTATAGACTACTGCACATTTAATAAAAACCTCCAATGTTCTCCCAAAATGCCTAATAAGTATACAAACTTCAAACTCTTAGAATTGCATACTTTTAAATAGAAGTCCAGTTGTTTCACTGCCTTCAAAGTGAAAAAATTAAAATTAAAAAAAATAATAAAGGAAAAGAACTTCACTCCTTGGCTTTTTGAAACATAAGCATCTAAAACCAAGCTAGCACCAATAATAATTGTATTTGAAATAAAGAATATTTTTAAAAAGTTGTACTTTGTAGAACAGATTCATTCAGTCTGGTTTTTAAACCATGGATCCACATTGATCTTTGTGATATTCAAAAAAAAAACGCAGATCTTTTAGTTACAAAGAAAGTTCTGACACACAGCACAATTTATTTGAGAAACAAATCACATAAGGCACTACAAATGAAAGAGCAGTTTTGGGACAGTGTCAGTTTTTAGGCAGCTTGATGATTTATTTATGAAAATCATCAACCTTTAATTAAACAGAAGTGGCCATAGAACACTTTGTTTTCTTTGCCAACTGTCAAATTGTGACACTATCCTTAACAGCTTGAATTTCATATTTAAACCCATCCATCTGAACCATGTTTCGTTTATAAACAAAACAGTAATTACAAGATTTTACAATTGGCTATACAACTACAATTATTTTTTCTTAATTTCAGAATACAAAACCTTTGGAAATGAAAAAGACACACAATGCTTCTTGCCTATGTATGCACCTTGAAGTAATGGTTCTTTAACAAACAATCAAGATATAGACCCAAACATGAATGAATCAGCATTCATTCATTGTTTTGAAAAGGTAATTCAAGCCAGACGAGACATTAGTAATATCTTTGAAAAGACAGAACTTTGAATGAGGTTTTGCTATATTTAACAGTTTGAAAATTGTGCTGCTGGATAAGTACCTTTAAAAATAGGAGATGAAAAAACTCAAGAATTTTAATGTGACTATACCAACATAATTAATTACAAGGTAAAAGTATTTTATGGACATAAAGGGCAGATTTCATAAAAATCAACTAGACAATAACTTGGAAAAATGATCTTGTCCTGATTTTTCTTATATAGGTACAATGAGTAGCAAAAGACTATACAGTTAACTAACTCTTCCTCCATGAACTTCTTCCCAAATACTGTCTATGACACTGTATAATTGAGATTAGGCATTAGTGTGGCCTGGATTTTAAGTCCTCTCCCTGAAGGCCAAGTGATTCTTACTTTTGAATGGGATAGCTATTATCAAAAGAAATTTTACCAAAACTTGATCCTACTTTTCTCAATAACTCATTTTTCAAGCACTGTCCTTGAAAGGCACTGTTTTATTATACCACATCTGCCTTCATGAACACAGTGAAAGAAACAGTAATAATAATGGCTCAAATATTGCTTTAACTCCATCAAATTTAGTCCTTAAGGTAGGAAAGTAAAAATCTAAAGTTGACACATTAATATAACATTCTAAAGATATTTTTTGCTTGGTTGTGTGGTTTTTGCAGCTTCATCTTTTGGTATTACAAGCTGCACTTTAAATGATCTGTCAGCCAAGACTACAGTGAGCTCATATCAACCTGCAGGAACCCCACAACTATCCTACTGAAAAAGAATACTGAAAAACACAGTATGTTCTACATACTTTCAATAGAAGATAAACAGAAAACTCTTGTTGACCAATATTGTAGAGCCATTAACAATTTCTGTATCTTAGTCCAAAACACAAACCAAAATTGTAATGTTTTCATCTTTCCAGTAAAGCACATGTTACCTTTTCAAAAAGCCTGACGTTTAGTCACCTCTGCTATTAATTTTTTCAGGAACTAAGAACGATATACACACAGGTGTTTTCACAAACACAACACTGCTTCCTAATTCTGAACCCTATCATCTGGCAGGAAAGACAAAGAATCCATCTCTGAAGTCCCTTATCATACTTCCTGACTAGATGAAATGTGGCTTTTCTCTTCTATCTCCTGGAAAAATGCTCTTTTGGTCAGAGGCCTGGGATACAGCCTTTGACTCATAGTTAAGTCCACTCCCATTTGCTCCAGACCTGGCCAGGGTAGGATCCTTACTCCAAAACTGTGGTGAGCGAAAGGGAAAACTTGACTCGAGACTCTCAGCCTGGAACTTTTTGGTTTTTGTTTTTGCCGGCTCCGAAAGAGCTTCGAAGGAGCAAGTCAGCGTTTGAATCTTCCCCAGTAAGTGAATCACACTCAGTGATCTGCGTACACAAAATCTCCAAGCAAGAAAAAGGGTTTGAAACAGGAAATAAAAATCAAAATAATGTTCTTCCACCTCTGTAAACCGTCTTTTTCCTCCTGATAAGCTTTCTGTAAAATACCAAACAGACTTTGAAGTCAAGTTGTCTTTGCATTCCTCTCCCCAGTTATCTCTCAAAACAAGGCTCTGTGTTTGTCTCAAATGTTAAAAATCCAAGTCCTGTGACTGAGGGTTTATATGCCACGCCTTCCACATTTCCCTGTTAAAACTCCCCTCTCTAAAAAATGATCTCTGCAAACAGGAAAGCCAGCCCTCATCATAGTCTCCAGCAGCCCCGGGAAACAGATCTTGATCCTCAGCATCTCTGCTAACCCTCCGGAGCAGAGTTGGAGTCAGAAGGGATCCCCGGGCAGAATGCGGGCGTCACCGCAGGGGGAGACCCAGAAGTGCGCCCCTGAGACCAGTACTAGCACAAGCACGGGCAGCACACCCCAAAATTCCTCAAGTCTCGACTGCACTGCATACAGAAGATTTTACTTCGCTAGAGAACAATAACGTGAGTAGTCTTTCACTTATGCAATACAAAATACATACATATACAAAACTTTTCCCCCTAAAAGCTTCATTTTTGAGTCGCCAATTTATAAAGGCCCCTGGCATTTCCAATCACTCCGCAAGCGCTTCTCTGACAAGAGGGAACTGGGGCGTGGGGTCCAGGGGCGCGGCCCGGCCGCCGCGTCTATCCGGAGGTGTTCTCGCACAGACAGGGTTCGGGCCCCGCGGTCCATCTCTAGCACGGTAGGCTCCCAGGGCAGGAGGAACCCCGCGGGAAGAACGCGGCCCGGCCTGGCGCCTTACCTGAGCGGGGCGTCGCGGCTCTGTCCCGACGCCGGCCTCCCGCGCGCCGAGTCCAACTCCGGCGCAACGCGCACTGCTTTCCTGGCGTCAACACCCGGCGGCCTCAGCCAAGCCAGAAATGCGGGGTGCCGGGAGCTGGAGGCCACACTAGCCAACCCCGGCAACTCCTCTTCCCTCCGCTCTTCTGCGCCTCCCTAAGGAAAGAGCCGGAGCGTCCGCGGGGTGGGGCGGGGCGGCCCGGCCTGTGCGCGCGCTGATTGGCCCTGCGGAGAGTCACTCAGCAACGTCGCGGGCTGAGCACTTTCGCAGCGGGCGAAACCCGGCTGGAAGTGGGTGTGGAGGGGAAGCACCGCCTTTCCTGCTGCCTCCGAGGGAAGGAGTAACGGGATGGGACACAACCTGGGAGTCTTAAACTTTCCTTGGGGTGTGCACTATTTGCCGGGTCAGAAACAGAACTAACTCAAGCCGCCACTTGTCCAGGCAGAACAGTTGCTTCTGTGTCGCAGGCAGCTGCTAGCTCCGCGGCGCTGTGCAGAAAATGGCCAGAACCAGAGCCTACGGAGGCGATCGAGGCCGGCGCGGTCCGCCCCGCGTCCCGGGTTGCTGGCGTCCAGAGCTGCGGGCGTCCTGCAGGGGACTTCACTACTGCAGAAGTGCTTGGCAGTGATTGGGGAAGAAGCCCAGGATCGCAGACCTAGCTCCGAGTGAGTAACTGGCCGTGTTACCACCACGTGGCTGCTTTTGATTTTAGCTGTGAAAAATCAATCCATACAATTTCCTAGAGGAATAAAGTAGAATCTCTGAGAGTTTAAAAAATCCGTTTTAAGGACCTTAAGACTGCTGTTTTAATGTATAGTTGGAAAGGGGAGGGGGAGAAAACACAACCGAGTGCAACAACCGTCTAATTGTGACTTGAATGAACTCATTTCAATGGCTGGGCTATTAGTTAATTAGGAATCAACTAATGTTTACCCCTGAGGGATACCACCCAATATAAGCCCTTTGGCTGAGAAAACAGAAAGATTCTCTGGAGACCTTCTTTCAGTTAATCCCATACTTGACCCAAAACATATCTGAATGGGGGAAGGTGGCTTTTGTGTAAGGAATATAGATATAGCATATTACTCAGCATGTTCTAGAAGTACAATCAATTATTTACTTTCTGTTGGTTTTATTGTTTGGTGATTGATGTCATACATTTCAATCTTCTGCCCCAATCTGCAGAAGGATCCCAGAACCCAGTATTACGCACAAGTGTATTACTAACTTGAATTGGTATGTGTGTAGGGGCGTGTCTTTTTCAAAGAGGGTTTCACTAAACCATCCAGATTGGCCTTGAACTCACGTTGTAGCCTAGGCTGGCCTACAGTTTGCAATGATCCTCCTGCCTCTGCCTCCCGAGTGCTGGGATTACAGGCATGAACCACCATGTCTGGCATATCAACTTGGTTTTAACCCAAGATTTCAATGGCTTAGCACGGTTATAAAGTGAATTACTCCAAATTGCTTTTTAAAAAAAGGTTGAAGGGGCTGGGGATTTAGCTCAGAGGCATAAGCACCTGCCTTGCAAGCAGGCGTTAACCCATTAAAAAAAAAGTTAAAAAAAAAAAAGGTTGATTTTGTTACTGTCCACTTAGGTTCATCTGCTCACCATTGATCAATTCAAAGGAGGCTATATATTTGGGTAAAAAGAAAAAAGGATTTATTCAAGGCTAGATCCCAGGAGATGGAGGCAGCTATTTGCATCTGACTGTGTACAGGTGGGCAAGAGTCTTTATAGTAAGGAACAGAGAGGAGCACAGAGACAGAATGCAGATGTGCACTTTACACTTCTAGCTATCTTCAGCTCATGGTCCCCATTCTTGTGGAATGGAAAATAGGCTCCAGGCTTCCTGGTATCAACATCATATTCTTTTCATTCATCGGGACTGAGAAGTAGGGGAAAGCTGTATGGCCCAGGCCTCAAAAACCCATTTGTCTCCACAGGGAAAAGCAAACAAGCAAAAAAATCTAACTTTTAAAGTTCTGTTTTGCAGTGGCCATTACAATTTGACTTCAAAATACTGTTTTCTTGCTATATCTAAAGAATTGAGTGCCCATACCCCCACATTCTTTCAAATGCCGTAAGGTTCCACGAATCAAACTTGGGCCATTGTTCTTACTCCTACTTTATCTTATCATTGTGCTATTTGTCTGCGCCATTCCAAACTCATCTACTTATATTTCTGACTCCACAGATTCAACACTTTCTTTCTCTGCACCAGTACCAGATAAGTTTTCTAAAACAACTTTTTTGTTATCCACATCTTTCCCACGGAATCAGGTCCCCCTTTCTCAGTTTAGCCTCTTAACCTGCCCTTTAGGGTTCTATTTACTGTAGTCCCTTATATCTCATTTCATTTGTAGGAATCCCCCTGCTCTAGTAAAAAGCTGTAGTCACAGATCCGTGCATTGCCTCACCTTTTGGTGGCACTTGAGCCTCTACACTTCTCTAAGCCTACTTAAAATAAAGTCCTCTTAGTTATGTGCTGCAATGAACAGAAAAAGTATGTGGGGTCCTTTGCCTTTGCCACTTATTTGCTAGTAACTTGAGACAAATCACTAAAAACATCCATTATCAGCACTTTTCTGAAATGGTACTGATAATATCTATGTCTAAGGTTATATGTAAGGATTATTGGTATTTTATAGATGTGGAGATATTTGTACCTCAGTCTTTTAGCAAAAGTATCCATTACATTTTCTTGTTCCTCTCTGTTGTTCATCTTTTTCTGTGTCTACTCACTTAACCATCATTCACTGAACAGCCCTTGACTCCCTGAGATATCTCCAGGACCCATCACTCAGCCTTTCTCTATGCATCTCTCGTCCTTCAGTCAGGGGCATACTTGTCCATCAGGACCTGTTGCTTGACAAGATTTGCTCCCCACATGCCCTCCCACAAGCCAGTTCTTCAACCTAGAAACAGGATGGCTGCCTCCAGGTTCATATTGTTCTAAAACTACGCCAGCTGCAGGAGATGGGGGCGGGAATGCACACCCCTACAGGGATGGCAGGATAGAATAACAGGAAATTGCTTCCCATTCCCTTTGCAGCTGGAATGATAACAGCTGCCATACGAGTGCAGAAAATAAAAGACTCCAGAGGAAAGCTGAAAACAGGCCAGGTTTGGAGTAGCAGTGTTCCAACCAGAGGTTATACCAGGGGGTGGGGGAGGAGCCATGGGCAGACATCTCAGCTTCCATCCCCACTCTAGAGTTGCAGCTTTTATCTGTTCTATGTTTAGGTCTCCCTGTAATGCTTCATTTTTAAGACATAGTCTAACATTTCAATAACCACATTGAAACCATGGGCTTGGGAAAACCGCAAAAGATCAGAACAGTGCTGCAGAAGCAAAACAAGGTGCCTGCTAAGCAAAATCCAAAATTTCCTTGCTATCCAAGACCTAGCTGGATTGATGGAAGTGTCCAGTTACCACATCTATGGTTTCAATATTCAGTAGCTCTGTAGGTCTACCTAACTATTTTCTGCCTAGTTTTTCTCATGATCGGCCTTACCTTTGGTATCAGTGGACGTGTCTGTTACTGTGGAGAAGGAACCTTCAGAAAATAAAAAAAAGTAGGTCATAAGAGGGATCCCAAAGGTAATCTAATGAAACCACCTTTGGATACAAGAATGCTTTCTACAACATTCCAGAGGCATGGTCCGCAGCCTCTGCTTCAGTGTACTTGGCAAGAGGAGCACAGGACAAGGAAAAGAGCCCACCACTTAAAATATTTCTCCATTCCGTCCACATTCTGCTTTACTTCATTCCTCTACTTTGTGTCTTATTTAATCCTTTTAACCATCCTTAAGGTGGGTGCTTTTAGTGCCATTGTAACAGAGAATCAAAGGTACAGCAAGATTATATAAATAAATTGTTCCAGAACACTCAGAACTGGGACCAAAACCAAGATCTGCTGGACTCCAAAGCTATTTTTTCCTTTCTGTATCTAAATCATTGCTTGTCCACAATTCACCCTCTGTTAGTTGTACTATTTGGAGTAACAGAACAAGATGAGGCTTCTTGTTACTGGCCCGGTCGCCCGTCACCCCAACACATACCTGAGCAGGCCTGAGACCTTTCCACCTTGGTTTGTTTAGATGCAAACACAGGCAAGGTTCTCCCCACTCAGGTTCCTGTCGTTTGCTGCCTGGTCTTTACAGATTCCAGAGACAGTTCCTTAAAAGTACAACCATGATCATTTTTTACTCCTTTAAAGACATTTGAACAACTTTCCATTTACCAAGCAACAAAACCCAAACATTCTTGAACAACATTACTGAGACTTTATATCCTGGCCTCCAACATACCTCTCCTAACTTAGCTTCCATTCTTCATATGTCCATACTGCACAAATTGCATTACTTTACTGCCATTCCCTAATAACATCTTCTCAATTGTGAAAAATTTTTGCCAGTTTCCATTAAAGTCCATCTGCCAGAGTTTTTATAAATACCCAGTGAGGTGTCTTAGGTATGAACACGTTGCTTGACACAAAATAGGTCAGGAGTAAACTATTCTGTTTTCTTGGACATAAAACAATTGTATCATTATTTTTATAGATGATTTATATCTTTCACTGACTATAATTTTCTAATTCATTTCATCTTTATATTCTTTATAGAATCTAGAACCATGTTTTGTGCTATAGATATTCATTAAAAGTTGAACAAATATAAATGCTGTCTTTTGTTTTAAACTCCTTACCTATTATGTGGGCTGTCTTTAGAAGTTCAATAATAAACCGGGTGTGTTGGCTCACGCCTGTAATCCCAGGACTCGGGAGGCTGAGGTGGGAGAATCGTTATGAGTTCGAGACCAGCCTGGGCTACAAAGTGAGCTCAAGGCCAGCCTGAACTGCATAGTGAGACCCCATCTCAAAAAAGACGAAGAAGTTCAATAATAACTTGACCAGACTGATAACAAAAGATTTTGGAACCTCAAATTATTTCTCATCCCAGTTATATTGCCAACACAGAGTGAGTTAAACACATGGTTGAAATTATGAACCAAATCCAAGTGAACAAGCTGGGTTTTGGATTTCCTTCTAAATAAAATTACTGATTGCTCTGTGCAACTGTAAGCATGATATTAGTGATAATTCACACACTTAAATTTTAATATCTTTTAGTATATAAAGGGGACTAAGCCTCCAGTCA